TTCTTTTACTTTCCATTTATTTAATGAATAAGATAGGTAGCTAGGACAAGCTGGCAAGATGTATTCATATTAATAATGTATATTTCCTATCTGTCTTTTCTAGGGCAAAGGATTCATACCTCCACAAAGTGGAGATGTTTACAGCACTGTGTACACACTTTCTTCAAAAGTTTAGGGGAAGTCCTAATTTTTACATATGCTTATATGTTATTTCATCTGTCTGAAAATTAAATACAATTAACAGGATCCCTTTTAAATCTTTTAATTTGGATTTATTAATGTAATCCTGTAAAAATTAAAAACAACACTTTATAACAAGGGTCATTATTTCTTTAATCCCTACAATTTTTTTACTTAAGGAGTGTTTTAATGCTTCGAAGGTAAACCACAAGGGGCCAAAGCCTCTTATGCTATAAATGCGTAGATTTGAACTAACTTTATATTCCGGGTTTTGTTCCCCAGCTATGTGCAATTTGATGAATAATAGTATTTTTTAAAAAAAACAATATTTATACAGTTTAACAGTGGACTTGCAGCATTGTATAAAGGTGACATTGTAGAGCAGATCAATCTGGTGTGTTGCATTTCTTTAATAAGCTTTCAGATTGTAAATAATCTTTGTACATTAATGTATTTTCTCAGAGGTTCAGTTTTTAAAAATTATTCACTCCTAAATCCTAATACTCAAAATATTTATGCATATGCTTGTGTTTAGCTTTCCTAGCGGCACATCTGGAATAAATCAACATTTTAGTTCAGCTTTTTTTTTTTTTTTCCCAGGAAGAAAATCATAGTCTTTCCGTGATAAAAGTCTATTGACGTTAATGTAAGGTTAGTTGAAAAGCTCAGGAAGACCAGATAAATCCTATGGCTCACTGATACCTAAATTAATTCCGATTTTAAAAATTATAACATAAATTAAACATAACATAAACAATGGAGAGGAATAAACCTTGCTCAACATAGAAATTCGTTCATTTATTTTGAAGTAAGAATTAGCAGAAGAAATCCTTTTTGATCTATTAGATGTACATTTTTTTCTGAGAAAGGACAATAGGCCAAACTCTTAAGTGTGTCCAGAACCACAAACCTGCACCTGTGTACCTGAGTGCATTTTATCTGTGTATGTTTCATGGACCCGATTACATGTGGCTATCTGTGCATGCATGCACAAAATATCTTACAACATATCCACCATGGCCCTTGGCTGAGAGGTACAGAATAAAGAAATTATTTAAGTATGATTTTTCATGTTACAGGACGGTTCCTTGGAACAGAGGAGAAGCAAACCAAACTAACTGACTAAATATAATAATTATAAAATCAACTGTAATTGACCACTTCAGCTGTTAACATTTTTTGCAAGAAAACACAACCATTGGAAAAATGTAGTTGAAAAAAACTGTTTTATAAACATGGAACAAAATGTAAAACACTAATCCATTTGTAGATTTTTGACTAACACCTTTAGTCCTTTCTCAGGTGATGAGAAACACATGGTGCACAGTGCAGGTGATAAAACTCTCCGAAAGTGATGCCCAGCATGGTATTTTTAAAAACTTGGCTTTAAAGAGTTATAAATCCATTGTTTATTAGGCTCACCTCTTAAAACCGTGTGTAAATTCTGCGTGAGAATGGTTGTTAGGTTGTACCTGATGTTGTCAGTATGTACCCTGATGTAACTTACAATTGTTACTATTTCCCGTGCTTTGGTGCGTTTGTAGCCTTGCCAAAAGAATGAGGAAATTATGATGAGCGAGGCGCTGTGCAAACATACAGCAGAGCAGAATTATTTTACAGTATTTAAGCAATATTCAGGCATTTTTAGATGGCGTCCTGATGAAGTAAATAATAAAACACTCAAAAAAGCTCTTAAAGGTAAATGAAAGAAACGTCCTTATACAAATGGTTATAAACTATAAGGAACAGATCTGAACCCTATCGGATGTCCTGCAATTGACTTCAGCCAAATTGAAATTACAGATGTTCGTTCTTTGGAAAATTTAGTCAGTTTAACTGAGATCTTATAGTAAATATAGGTGCTGAAGGTATAAAAATGTCTGTAATTGTTTGCATTTTTGGGGAGGGAATGTGCTTCTGTTGGTGTCACTTGGAATTTTACCATTGATAACAGTGATGTTCAGGAGCTATCTGCAACCCGTATTCATGTTATGCTCAGAAATCTTCTAATAACTGCTTTTGTGCACAAAAGGAAAATGACAGAGTCTAGCTGATTCTTGGGACTTGCTTATGGCAATGGGAATAAAAACAAATCCTCTTTAGATCCTCTTGAAATGCAGAATTTTTGGAGAAATGTGTTTTGGAAAAATACTTGTTTTAGAATTGTGGCTTCAAGGTTCATTTGGTATTTCTGTTAGAAGTTTTATACTAAGCAGAGCTCTTGTTTATTCTCATCTTCAAATTATTCTCATGTTCAATTAATGTAAGCCTTTGTGTGTGGGGGGAAAGCCTGTTGAAGAACTTCATTGGAACAGGTGTGGATACTCCTCTGCAGAGTAAGGCAGCAAGAAATTGTCTGTCAGAGAAGGTGTGGTGTTTCTGCCCTGCTCTGTCCTGGAGACTGCAGGGGAGCCTCGTGGTTGGCGTTCTGGGCCTGGGAAGTTTACAGAGCTCTCTGGAAACTCTTCTTTGGTAATGTCTCAGTCAACTTGTACAGGAAAAAGTACCTTACGTTCTGGGCACTAATTTATAATCTTTACCATCAAAAGGTTATTTGAAGTAAGGTCATTGTACTCATTGGATTTCTTTTATCTTTTCTCTTCCCCCCCCCGCTTCTATCATTCACTGTAATTTTGCCAGCAGTTTAGAATTCATTATTTTTTCTTTTGTTCCCAGCTAGTCCTTTTTTGCTCCGCAGTTGTGCTCTTTTAGTAAACCTGAACTTCTTAACTCTTTATTCAGATTTTTTACTTTTGCTTTTTGGTCTATCATTTTTCTGTAGAAAACTATTCCTTTTCCCCTGTCAGTTTCTTTTTTTTCCTCTTACTTGCCTGAACCTTGTTACAGGGACCTAGATTCCTCTCTATGTTTATTGAAATTATGCCTTGGTAGCACTCTGTCGGCCTCAGTAGTTTCACACAGAAGGAATAAAATCCATTTTGCTTTTTCCTGGTTATCCATTTCAGTTTCCAGGTTCCTGTTTTCTTTTCAGTGTGAACTGATTC